ATTAAAAAGAACGATTTAAATCAGTTATAAAGTTAATACAATGTGAAAACATAATGAATTACATTTTAGGGAATGAATCTAATATATAAAGCTCAGTTCTGTAACGTGTGGCAAAAAACAAAAAAGTTTGTCGTTGACACTTCTACGGATTTAAGTGTTAGATTTTTTATCGTGCTCAAAGTCTAAATTTACGAGTCGAAAAAATTACCATTGAAAGTCTTTAAAAACAATTTTCATTCTATTTACTTAGAAGAATAATTTTTAATTATGAACGCGACATAAAATTTTTAAAAAGTGTATCGACGTTTATAAAATTTCTAAAATTGTGTCGGAAATGTATTGACTGCAAGTTACTTCCCTTTAATGAAAAATAAATCCTTAAGAAGAGAGAATTAACATTTTATTACTTTGTTTTTGGTGTTAAGAAAAAAAAAATAATTACACAATTAGCGGGGATTGATTAAGTGCAATGTCGTTAGGTATTTTTAACACTGCCTTTTATTTATTCTATACACTGAACATACTGTTCAATAATTATTATTTTTTTTTTAAATCAATAACATTTAATAAGCCAGGGTCCTACAAATCATATACGTTTATTTCTTTCCATTTACGGATAAGCTTGGAGTATTATCATTTTTGTTCACTAAATTGAAACAGGCGCGTCCGCCGGCGCCCCTGCACGGTTTTGATTTGGCACCCTGGGCTATCATGTGAGCGCTATGCTGCATAATTTTGTTTTAAACAGTGCGATAGACTATGGATAAGAAAGGTTACTATAGTCTTTAAGTGAATCAAATCCGGGCGTCCTCCGGCACCCCGACAGGGTGCTATTTGGCGCCCCGGGCCTTCCGGTGTACGCTATGGTATCTACGTTCGCGTGAGTTCAAAAGACTATAAATAAGTTATGCACTATAGGCGTTAACTAAGTTCAATCAGGCGGGTGACGTCATGGTGCGTCCCTCTGGCGCCCAGACAGGGTGCTTTTTGGGGTCCCGGGCCTCCGTGTTCGGTTTTCGCGCCTACGTTCACTAAAGTGAGTGCAAAAGACTATGAATAAGTTGGGGTACTATAGTCGTTTATTAAGTTGAAGTAGGGCGATTCAGCCCCGTGAGCACTTTGCGTTTATATTCGCGTTAGTGTTTTCTTTGTGTTTAGGTTGGGTTTGCGTTAGTGGTTGCGTTTTTGATTTGGTTCGTTTTTGTTCTTTCTTTTTTCGTTTTCGTTTGTGTTTTATTTTCATTGGGTTTGTGTTTGTATTTGTGTTTGAGGTTGGTTTTGCGTTTGGATTTGGTTTGTTTTCGTTTGTTTTTCTTTTGTGTTTTTTTTTCTTTGGGTTTGTGGTTGGTTTTGCGTTTGTATTTTGGTTTGTTTTCGTTTGCTTTTTCGTTTGTTTTTTTTTCTTTGGGTTTGTGTTTGTGTTTGTGGTTGGTTTTGTGTTTGGATTTGGTTTGTTTTCGTTTGCTTTTTTCTTTGTGTTCGTATTGGTGTTTGTGGTTGTGGTTGGTTTGTTTGTAAGTTTTTGTTTTCGTTTGTATTTGTAATTGTGTTAGCGTTATGTTTGCGTTTTGTTGTTTTGGTTTTGGTTGGTTGTGGTTTGGGTGGGCAATGCCGGGTTTATGATGATTACTAAACACACAGGTGATGGTCTTTAACAGAAGGGTTTTTCACAGAAGCCAGAGCAGGGCCTGGCCGGGACGGCTAGTCTAATATATAAAGCTTAGTTCTGTAACGTGTGGCAAAAAAAAAAAAGTTTGTCGTTGACACTTCTACGGATTTAAGTGTTAGATTTTTTATCGTGCTCAAAGTCTAAATTTACGAGTCAAAAAAATTACCATTGAAAGTCTTTAAAAACAATTTTCATTCTATTTACTTAGAAGAATAATTTTCAATTATGAACGCGACATAAAATTTTTTAAAAAGTGTATCGACGTTTATAAAATTTCTAAAATTGTGTCGGAAATGTATTGACTGCACAGTTACTTCCCTTTAATAAAAAAAAATTCTTAAGAAGAAAGAATTTACATTTTATTACTTTGTTTTTGGTGTTAAGAAAAAAAAATAATTACATAATTAGCGGGGATTGATTAAGTGCAATGTCGTTAGGTATTTTTAACACTGCCTTTTATTTATTCTATACACTGAACATACTGTTCAATATTTTTTTTTTTTTTAAATCAATAACATTTAATAAGCCAGGTCCTACAAATCCTATATGTTTATTTCTTTCCATTTACGGATAAGCTTGGAGTATTATCATTTTTTGTTCACTAAATTGAAACAGGCGCGTCCGCCGGCGCCCTTGCACGGTTCGATTTGGCACCCTGGGCTATCATGTGAGCGCTATGCTGCATAGTTTTGTTTTTAACAGTGCGATAGACTATGGGTAAGAAAGGTTACTATAGTCTTTAAGTGAATCAAATCTGGGCGTCCTCCGGCACCCCGACAGGGTGCTATTTGGCGCTCCGGGCCTTCCGGGTGTACGCTATGGTATATACGTTCGCGTGAGTTCAAAAGACTATGAATAAGTTATGTACTATAGTCGTTTTACTAAGTTCAATCAGGCGGTGACGTCATGGTGCGTCCTCTGGCGCCCAGACAGGGTGCTATTTGGGGTCCCGGGCCTCCCGTGTTCGGTTTCGCGCCTACGTTCATTAAAGTGAGTGCAAAAGACTATGAATAAGTTGGTGGTACTATAGTCGTTTATTAAGCTGAAACAGGCGATTCCGCCCCGGGCTAGACTCTGAGCACTGTGCGTTTATGTTCGCGTTAGTGTTTTCTTTTGTGTTTAGGTTGGGTTTGCGTTAGTGGTTGCGTTTTGATTTGGTTCGTTTTTGTTCTTTCTTTTTTCGTTTTCGTTTGTGTTTTATTTTCTTTGCGTTTGTGTTTGTATTTGTGTTTGTGGTTGATTTTGCGTTTGTATTTGGTTTGTTTTCGTTTGTTTTTTCGTTTGTGTTTTTTTCTTTGGGTTTGTGGTTGGTTTTGCATTTGGATTTGGTTTGTTTTCGTTTGCTTTTTCGTTTTTTTTTCTTTGTGTTCGTATTGGTGTTTGTGGTTGTGGTTGGGTTAGTTGTTAGGTTTTTGTTTTCGTTTGTATTTGTAATTGTGTTAGCGTTATGTTTGCGTTTTGTTGTTTTGGTTTTTGGTTTGGGTGTGCAATGCCGGGTTTATGATGATTACTAAACACACAGGTAATGGGTCTTTAACAGAAAGGTTTTTCACAGAAGCCAGAGCAGGGCCTGGCCGGGACGGCTAGTACATTTTAAAATGAAAGTAAATGTCGCACACAAAAAATGGCGAAATTCCAAAAATAAATAACTTCCACAGAGCTAGTCAAAAGAGGGGGTCAAAGTTCACATCCACGGGCGCAACTTTGTGGCGGGAAACTTTATCGCCTCCAACATCGTGAGCGCCGTCAGCATGTGCCGTAGGACCTTGGTCATCCTGACCGGGAACTTCTGCAAGAGTCACTGGTGTAAATACGAGGTCCAGGTAGGTGGAATTATTATTGTGCTTGCAAGTGCTTTTAAAAATATCTAAACAGTAATTCCAGTTCTAATCTAGAACTAAACGATTAAAACCTTTTCTTTATAAGCAAAAAATAACGTTTAGTTTTGGTTTGCCAGTAAATAATAATCTATTATTAACAAAATGCGTTATTTTAAAAAATAAAATGAACTGTTATATTTAATTTAGGCGTTGATTTAAAAACCACTGAAATCTGTGTCTGATTTAAGACAAGACTGGCACATTGTTCAGCTCTAAGGGGGTGACACCACATGAAAAATGTTTTTCTTTATTATGCATGTTAATGATAATGTAACAGATTTATTTGTTCACGGTATTTGTTCTCTAAACAAAAAAATGTATAAAATCATATTTTGTAGTTCTAGCTGCCCCGAAAGCCATGAAATGTTTAAATTGAACACATTTTCAAAACTCTCCATCTTTGCTCGCTCAATATTCAAAACAAAATCTCATTTAAGATATTCACTTTGCTGTTTATTTTTTAACTTTTTAAATGTATTTTTAAATAAGAAAATATACAACAACAAAAAATAAGTAGACGGTTTTACATAAACTTTAATATTTTCTAAGTATTGCAGTAAAATGAAAACACAAAACTTGAAAAGTAGTGTAATGCTCAAAACGTGTGCAAAGTTTCACTTTTGTGTTACACTAGGTTAATGGGACGGCGTAGTAAAACTTACGAAAGTTGTTTTTTTCCTTCAAAAAGATAGAATTGTTAACTACGTGTAAATTGGTTTATTCTTTTATCTTAGTTTAAGGCGTACTAACCCAGTTTTTTTAGTATTGCAATCACAATAAACAGTGTATTTTTCACTAAAAAAATGTGTAGGCCGATAATTTTAAAATTATAAACGAAAAAGAAATAAAAGTTTTAACAAAAAAGTTTTAACCGCGTGTTTTGTTTTATCTAGTAACAATTTAACCACCTAGCCCACATCATTAGTTGATAACAGATCGCGAAAAGGCTCAAATTTCTGTACCTTAGTACGATTGGTCAATAGAATTAATGAATCATTTTCCTTTAGTAATCATTTAAACATTTAAGTAAGCCTATATATGGCGGCATTGCCTTGACCGTAGTGGTTGCCTAGACCGTAGTATGACCTTGACCTTTCTATTTCAGATGGCTAACATGGAGTCGGTCCACGACGGACGTCCGGTGCTGATATTCCTGGTCAAAGAGAACATGGCGGCCAAGAACCTAGGCGAGCTCATGTCCTTCCTCCGCTGCAACACTTACGTCCCCTACCCACAGGGGGAGCAACTCTCGGAGCGGGAGATGAAGGCCATGTGGGACAAATTGGCGCAGGACCTGCGCTAGCTGTAGGACCTCAGCGATGACATTCAGGTCTAGATCGTCTCATGGAGAACATTTAGGTCTAGATCGTCTCATGGAGCTAATACGCTGGCTGAAGGACATTCAGGTCTAGATCGTCTCATAGAGGACATTTAGGTCTAGATCGTCTCATGGAGCTAATACGCTGGCTGAAGGACATTCAGGTCTAGATCGTCTCATTGAGGACATTTAGGTCTAGATCGTCTCATGGAGCTAATACGCTGGCTGAAGGACATTCAGGTCTAGATCGTCTCATAGAGGACATTTAGGTCTAGATCGTCTCATGGAGCTAATACGCTGGCTCATAGTTTGGAGGACATTCATGATGTCCTATTGCTGGCCTTCCAGGATCCTCTACACCACAGTACTTGAATGGCAAATACCCTTGAGCTCTAGCAGTCATTATTTTCGTGTGCCGACAGCCATCCTTGCAAGGTTCACACAACAATGTAACTGGATATCATTTATAGCCTCGGGCATATTGCTTCATCAACCGTATAAACGGGTCCTTCAAAGAAAAATATTGGATTACTAATCAGGCGTATCGTTTTACCACATACGATGCCCATTAAAACCAGTGATAACAAAAACAATTAAACTGTTTGGAGTTTAAATCAAAATCGATGTTACAAAGGAAAACAAGGTTTTTTTTTAAGCTTTGACAACCTTTTGACAGCCTCTTGACCGTTGTGTGATTTCTTATTACGGCATGGTGTCTTGTATTAATCAGGAAAAGAATTTTTCAATATAGAAAATTCTTTTTTCCCTTAAGAAAACATATTGTAATAAATGCTGTAACTGTATATGTATTTTTTTCTTACAAATTGGTTGCAAATTATTATTTTTATTATTGTTGGTTATAAATCATTTTATTTTTTAATTTAAAAAAGAACGAGAGCCCATAAGTTTTATTGCTTCTTAAAAACATTTCTATATATCTTCCATCAATGAGAGATATGATTTTTTAAATATATATTTAGAATCAGTCGGTACACATCTTCCTAAGATCCACTCTTTGATGCTTTTCTCTAAACGTGCAGTTTTTCCGTGAGAGTCAAACGGTATGCTTTCTACAAATCTTTTTCATAAACAAAAACAAAAGAACGATTTATCGGAAAAAAAGGTAATCGTAACTTGTTCCTGGAGCTATCACTACCCCATTTGTTTGCAACATCAATTTTCGTTATATCAATGGATACATGTTTTATTTTTGTATTGTGGGAGGAGATTGACAAATGACTCACAAAATGGCTTCCTGTGTTATTTAACCCATGCTACTTAGATCGGCCACATGAGGTAGACATATTAGAATTGTAAGCTATAACATTAAAAATAATTTCCCCGCATCATCACTATTATAGTTTAACTTATCAACCGTAATGGTATTTAAACTACTTAATAACTAGTTGTTTGCACCCGTTGAGGAAAAGTTGCAACGGGGCCTATTCTGCTAATTTTCTTTTATCACATTTTGACCCTTCTATTATGAAATATGGCCTGCAGATATGTAAACCATAGCTCTATTCGGGTTTGTATCTGAATCTTAAATTCCAAACTAACTCAGTATTTGAAGAAACGACAAATTTTGACACAGCTGAAGGTCAAGAACTTGTACGCTAACTTCGGTGAGTATGTAAATCTGAAGACAAACTCGTAAGAATATGAGAATTTGTTAAACTGGAGACACTTTCCTCAAAAATGTGAGAGTTAGGAGACACCATCTGCCAGAGCAAAAGAATCTCACCATTATTCAGGTAAGTTAAAAAAAAACCCACACCTTTATAGTGCGGGAGGATGCTTTTTGTTACACTGTGTAGTATATCACACTGACATATTTATATCAAAGATTATTATAATAAAAGGAACATGTAGAAAATAATAAATATGTATTCAGTTAATAAGAAACAACGAAGCCTCGCTTCGATATTTTAAATAAACAAGAGTACCCAAAATGCAACAGTTATAAAAATGTTTACTAATAATATAATCAAATTAAATACCGGTAGACCAAGTTTATCGTAACTTCGCTTAGGACAAATTGATTTGTCCTAACAACTGATTTGAACAAAAAATAACTAAATGTACGCTTTAAAAAAAAATTACAATTTTACATAGCATATATTTGTCTTGAATTAACAATAGCGGAAGTAATCTTTTTTTGCCGTTCAATAAAAATATTCACATTTGGTTTGGAAAATACTAGCTGGCAAGTACAAACACGAGAAGATGGTGACATACATATTAGCCCTATTGGAAACGTCATATCATTGTTTCATAGTGGGCTTTATCGGTAGGTCATTGGCGTGACATTGCCTCTGTGTGTGGTTGAGGGTGTGGGGTGTGTAGGGGATCTGCTAGGTATACAGTTAGTAACATATTGTATTGCTAAGGGCATGGAATTACACCCCTCCCTATGTACTAGTCTATAAGCTGTCTCTGTTCTAGAAGGTTTAACATTATTTTTATGAAGGCGGAAGTGTGTCGTGCTTGCGGATTAGCAACAAGCCAAATCATAGATTTCAATGACGATACTTTAACCCCAGGCCTTTCCTTATCTTCAACTTGGCTCTTATACAAAAAAAAACCGAGGCTCTTATATAAGAAAATCCGTGTATGGCTAATAGACACGAGCATACCATGTCAGAAGTTTTTAAAATTTTGTTTGTGTGGTCTGCGTGCGGGTTCCCTTGGCTTGTAAACTTATGCTGAACTGGATTAGGTAGCACTTACTTCAACGTAGTTTTACATCAACGCAAGATGGAGGTTATTTCATAACTTGAAAGCAAATGTAGTCAATGGAGCATCATTTTTTCAACCAACGGTTCAACAACAATAACAGCAAAGGAATTGTGTTTCGTGAATGCCTAAAACGTGTGCTACTTTCTGACCTAAGTATAAAAAGTCGCTTTGTCCGAGCTAGGTAAATAAAGACTGACTCTGTACGACACCATATATGTCAGACGCTCATTCTAACATCAGCTAATAATTATAGTACTGTCTAAAATTTGTCTCACTCACTCCATAATTTTACACATAATTTAAACAAAACCGTACAATTGTTTTCACTAAAACTTCCAGCTCCCAGTTATTAGACCAATCACAGTCATGATAACAAAATTCACTATCTCGTGTTTGCTCTTGGTTTTTTTGACCAATGAAGCGGGAGCATACACTTTACGTCCACCGGACATGACGTCTTCAGTTACTGTTAACGGAAAGTCTGATTCTAAAAATTCCTGGTTAAATGACAAGTCAACCAATACAAAAAATAACAATGTACATCGTATGGCAATCCCATTTAATAACGTTGTATCATTTAAGAAAAAAGACGCCGTCCTGACAAAAATGAAAAGTAATTCCTCACCCAGTAACAAACTAACAATGGACTTAGGTGTCAATAACCAAGTGACCTCTGACCTCAATAACAGCAACAAAAGAGAATCTCTTCTCGAGTTGTCAAAAACACAATCATGCAATCCCAGAAGGAATTCAACTTACAGCATATATTCGGGATGTAGGTGCTACAACGAAACAAATTGCTGTGATTGCAGCGGCCTTCGACTAACATCCGTCCCTCAAAACCTACCGCCTAACATAACAAAACTTGACATGTACAACAACGCTTTAACTGAAATACCTCCGCATTCGTTAAATAAGTACTCACGACTTAGAATATTGCATTTGAATTCAAACAACATTTCAAAGCTGAATGAAAGCTCGTTTTCGGGTCTGGAAAACTTGACGTTTCTCCGACTGGACGATAATTCCCTAGCGATGACCCCTGACACGTTTCCCGTGGGTGTCTTCAAGCCTTTGGTGTCCCTCACGGCCTTGAGGTTGAATAAAAACTTTAACTCGGCGGTAGGAGGGAACAATTTTAGTTACCCAGATTTAGCGCTATCTGACTTGAAAAACTTGAAGGCGCTTTATATGGACGGGCTAACGAATGCGTCGTTCGGAGTGGGATTCAGTAGGATGACGTCATTGGTCAACCTGACCGTAACTGGCTATCTGGATGGATACTGTAATATAATTTGTTTAAGCAACACGACATTCCAGTACCTGGGACACATCAAGGTCCTCAACCTCAGCAACTGCCACCTACACGGAAAGCACATTGACAAGGATGCCTTCACGCCTTTGGTGAGCCTGGAGATGCTGGACATCCACTACAACGAGGACATTGGAATCAAACACCTGCAGCATATCATGCACGGGCTGAGGAACAACACGAACCTGTGGTGGCTGGACGTTAGCACCATCGAGTGGCGCTACTCCACCGGAACTCAAGTCAATGCCAGTCACGTGACCAACCTCCCCAAGTCCTTGACCACTCTCAAGGTCGCGGGGAACAGCATTGAGAAGATAGACAACGACACGTTCGACCATCTCCCCCCAAACTTAACTCTTCTGGACATCGGAAAAAACCGAATCGTGTTCGGGGTTTTCCTTGAATTTCTCCCAAAACTGACCAAACTCCAGACTTTACTGATCAACGGTGAAGATTTCCTCTACAACATCCCCACATCATACAAGAAAGAATTCATCGAACATTTTCATTCCCACCGCAAGAGGAGAAGCGTTGGGGATGACAACGCTCTAGTATTCCACCTCCCACCACAACTGTCCCGGATAGAAATGGTTAACGCTGAGTTGCAGTACCGTCTGTCACGGCTGACGATAGACAGCAACAACTCCCTGACAGACCTTGTGTTGGACAGAAACTTTTTGCCTGAGCTGCAAGGTCCGTTCATCGGCTTCAATCATTTGACCACCCTCAGTATCTATTCGAGCTATGTTAGTTCCCTGGAGTGGACGTTTTTCTCCAATTTCCCGCGTTTGGAGAATCTTAACCTCGGCACAAACCTACTTGGGGATTTTTTAAACACTCTTGACGATCCTGTTTTCGCTAATTTGACAAATCTGAAAAAGTTAGATCTTTCTATTAACAACATTCAAAATTTAAGTTATGGTTTATTTATCGGTCTCAACAATCTTACTATTCTAGATCTGTCAAACAATCGTCTTTCGGAATTTAATGTAAAAATCAGTGGGATGAAAAACTTGAGACTGTTAAATCTGAGTCACAATTCGATCTCGTCACTTCCTGATGACGTGATGGAAAGCATTGATTGGCTGATTGACCACCAGATACCTGTTGAGGTGGAGCTGAACAACTGCCCTATTCTTTGCACGTGTCAAAACTTGAAATTCCTAACCTGGATGGTCAAGTCTCCAGCATTTAAGTCGTTCAAGAACTATATCTGTGCTCACGACGACGTGTACGTACGCTTGACCAACGGCTACAACAAAACCGTGGAGCTGCTGAACAAAGAATGCGCATCCAACGAGAAGCTCTTCCTGTTTGTTGTTGCCGCCACGCTGCTCGTGCTGTTTGCTATCGTCGGTCTCATGATCTTCCGCTTCCGGTGGAGCCTGCGGTACCTGTACCACGCGGCGATGCTGAACTTCCATAGACGACACGAGACAAAAGGCAACCAATTTGACTATGACGTTTTTATCTCCTACGCCAACCCGGATGAACTTTTCGTCCTAGAGGTTGTCGAGCCGGGTAAGTCTTTAGGAGAAGATAATGTATCTTTTGGTAATATACATATTAGGGTGTTGAAGTTTCCGTGATAATAAGGTTGTCTATTTGCCGATTACTAATTTTATGGCTATTTCGGTTTAACCCAATTACCTTTGTGTTGATTGTGCTTTGTTTTAAAAAAAAAGTCGAGCTGGGTCATTAGTTACTTATGGTTTCCTTTTTATTTGGTCAGCATAAAAAAATGTTGGAAGTTTATACACGCAATTTTTTTTCTTTAAAATTAATAATCAAGAAATTAAATGACTTACTCTTTGAGTTAAGGTGAATATTACAGTAAAAATACTTTTTAAATCTACTTACTTGAAAGACTTCCTCAATACTTCCATTAATATTGAATTAGCATTATTTTTACACATTATACATGATTTATATTTAGCCAGGGCATTACCTGGCCGGATCAGTTGTTTAGTATTCCAAAAGATTAACAAAACAAAAAAAATAATAAACCTGGAACGATCTACCCTAAACTTTCTCAAATATTCTTATATAAAACAACAGGGGATGGCAACTCGGGATATAGACATGATTTTTAATCCATTTTTAATTACTTAAACTTTTTAAAATAGAACAGAATCTCGTAGAAAAAAAGAATTGCACACCAAGTGAACGCAAAACAAAATTGCACATATTGTCATATTTAATGTATCTGATTTATATGTTCATACTAATACTAACATTTTACCCTACACATCTAATTGTTTTTAAAAAACTATATTATTGCAGATTCGGTGATTTATATATAAACACTAGCCGTCCCGGCCAGGCCCTGCTCTGGCTTCTGTGAAAAACCTTTCTGTTAAAGACCATTACCTGTGTGTTTAGTAATCATCATAAACCCGGCATTGCCCACCCAAACCACAACCAACCAAAACAACAAAACGCAAACATAACGCTAACACAATTACAAATACAAACGAAAACAAAAACCTAACAACAAACCCAACCACAATCACAAACACCAATACAAACACAAAGAAAAAACAAACAAAAAAGCAAACGAAAACAAAAACCTAACAACAAACCCAACCACAACCACAAACACCAATACGAACACAAAGAAAAAAAAACGAAAAAGCAAACGAAAACAAACCAAATCCAAACGCAAAACCAACCACAAACACAAACCCAAAGAAAAAAACACAAACAAAAAAGCAAACGAAAACAAACCAAACCCAAACGCAAAACCAACCACAAACACAAATACAAACACAAACCCAAAGAAAAAAACACAAACGAAAACGAAAAAAGAAAGAACAAAAACGAACCAAATCAAAACGCAACCACTAACGCAAACCCAACCTAAACACAAAGAAAACACTAACGCGAACATAAACGCAAAGTGCTCACAGTCTAGCCCGGGGCAGAATCGCCTGTTTCAGCTTAATAATCGACTACAGTACTCCAACTTATTCATAGTCTTTTGCACTCACTTAAACGAACGTAGGTGCCAAACCAAACCAAATGAACAATTATAATACTCCAAGCTTATTCGTAAAATACCTACAACATTTGCACTTGATCAATCCCCGCTAATTATGTAATTATTTTTTTTCCCAACACCAAAACAAAGTAATAAAAAGTAAATTCTTTTCCATTAATGCAATGTTTTATAAAGGGAAGTAATTGTGTTTTCCTAATTTATCAAAGGGAAGTAAGTGCTAAAGGACTAAATATAAATAATTTTCAGACATAATTAGAATTTTTGTTATTTTTTAAAAATTATGTTTAATGAACATGTCGACAATTATTACTATCAGTTTGAAAAATGAAAATTATTTCCCAGCACTTTAAATAGTAATTTTTTAACTCATAAATTTAGACTATGAGCACGATAATAGTCTAACACTTAAATCCATCGAAGTATGCCAACGACAAACAAACTTATTTTTACATACAGAATTGAGCTATATATAAATATATATATATATATATATAAATATATATATATATATGTAACTAGGGGAAGTTACCAGAGAATAAGAACGCAGTACAGCGCTGTCAACTTTGACACGACTGATGTAATAACGCAGGTGTTGGCTGATAACGATCAGAAAGCCAAGGCGTAGTATCTTGGGAATCGATACGATAAGAACGCAATACGGTCTGTCAACTTTGATGTGACAGGATGCAGATGGCTTATTAAATCGGACTGTACGACAGAAGCGGCGTAATTAACATTCTGATGCAACGATTAGAATCGATTACGATTACGATTATGATAGAACCGAATACGATTACGAATACGAAGGGGATATATAGGAAGGCGACGGCTGAGCTCGCTCTCTCTCTCTCTCGATCAGTCAGTCAGTGAGGCAGTATCAAGTTGGTTATTGAACGGGTTAGCCGTATTGTGTTAAGAAGGACGATAGACATGTGCATTCAGTTATGTGAAGACTAGTGAGGACTGTTGGGGGTCAGTTGATTCAGACTATTATTGTGAAGCATTCCTTTTGATTCATTATATTATTGTGAAGCATTTCTTTGATTCATGTAATAAAAGGATCAATAGCGAACCTGCATCTTCGAGTATCTATACTGTGGTCGATGTTGTGTAGAATGAGTGGTTAGACTCGGTAACATTTGGCGTTGTCGAGCAGAACTCGTTAACATTTGGCACTACAGGCAAATAGTCTCGTTACATTTGGCGCTGCGAGCAGGGTGAATTCAACAAGACTTGCCGCTTGAGGCACCCATAGTCAACCTTGTTCATAACTGTGTTTCGTGTGTGTGTGAATTCGGACATTCAGGAACAGTGAAAATTGAGGAACGAGGAAAATTTTTCATACACACACGGTAAGAAAGAACTCTTTTTTTTTTACTCAAGGAATAAAATGTCTACTCTGGACGAGAAGCAGACCCATATTGTGGTCCTGCCCAGAGAGTCCCACATTAACAAATTTTACGGGGACGGTGATCCAGCTTTAACCAACAGGTTCAGTGAAGAGGTCAAAGCGGCCTGGGCCTCGAGACACATGTCACCAGAGGAAAGATTAAGACTGCTGATGGGCAGTATAGGAGAGACGGTTAGGGCAGAGGTCAAATGCCACGATAAAACCATCCAATCAGATCCAGATAAGGTGCTGGATCTAATTATGGAGACCTTTGGGGAGAGACGGTCGGGATCGCAACTGCTATCGGGGTTCGTAGGCTTAAAGCAGAGAATGGCGGAGAGTGTGATGGAGTATTCACACCGAATGAACAGGGCCTTTGATTCGGTAAAGGGCAAAACACCTGACATTGATGTACGCCTACTGAGGGACCATTTCATCGAGGGGCTAGCAACCCCGATCTTAAGGAGAGAGTTGAAAGAGGAGGTCCACAAAGACCCGCAGTTGACCTTCCTTCAGGTCAGGAACTTAGCGATCCGCAGGTCCGAGGAGGAGGACCAATCGAACTGTTCGGTGGACAAAGTCTCTGTGCCGGAACAGAAACAATTCCCACCCACAGGGACCGGCACGGTAGAAACCATGATGGCTCAACTGTTGGCCCACCTGGATAAGGTTGACCAACGATTGGAGAGGTTAGAAAGCAGGTCAACAGCTGAGAATCAGGAAAAAGAACGGGACAAAACAGAGACAGGTTGGACGGCCGCGACCCGCCGGTCCATCGCTCCGGTGGACGGCTGACGGTCGACCAATTTGCTTGTCCTGTTCACAACCCGGACATATGGCACGGTACTGTCAGGGAAACGGTCGTCCTCTATAAGGCAGGGCCAGGCTACAGAGGGGCGAGGTTATGGCCCAAGAAACAAAATGATGGGAGTCTGTCCCGAAATGGTGATTACGATTGGGGACATCGCGGTGAAGGCAATTGTGGATACAGGCTCCCAGGTGACGACAATTACGGAAAATTTTTACACCAAATGGATGAAAGGAAAAGACCATAGGTTGAGGTCTGACACATGCATGCGCCTGACGGCAGCTAATGGACTAACCATTCCATACTGTGGTTATTTTCTGGCGGATGTCGTGGTGGCGGGACATAGGTTGAAGCAGGTTGGGGTGTTCGTTACGAAACACAACCTAGAGACAAATGTGTCAAATATACCTTGCCTGTTGGGCATGAATATTCTTGGCCAGTTGCCAGAATTTCTTACAAATATTGTCGGATCGACCACACCAGGTCGGGGATCCAAGTTGGCCAGGTTTGCCAAGACCAGAGGAAGGATATCAGTCCCGGCAAACACGGTCAAGGCAATCACATTACAAATTGGTGATAGAAGCGTGAATGGTGATGTGATGATAGAACCATGTGGCGCCGCACTGAGGGCAGGCGTCGTGTTACTGCGGACATACACATCAGCGGAGAAGGGACTAGTTCAAGGATTAGTGGCAAATGTTTTGGATGAGGAAATTTTTATACCGCCTAATACTCTGGTAGGAGTACCACAGAACGTCGAGGTACTAAGGTCGGCACAGTGCATCGAACTGAGCAATACCAGCAGTAATGAAGTAACAATTAGGTCGGTCAATGTGACGGCCGAGGTGAAGAAAGAGGATGGCCGATCATATACATTCCCGGAAACTGAGGACCCAAAACTAAATGAATTGCTGAATAAGTACAGGGATATATTTGCCTCGTACGAGGGTGATTTGGGTTACACGGAAGTAATAAAACACCAGATACCCTTACTACAAGACAAGCCGGTGGCGCAACCTTATCGAAGATTACCACCAAGTCACTACTCGGCGGTGAAAGCACACCTGAACGATCTACTAAAAAAGGGAATTATTACAACCAGCACTAGCCGGTATGCGGCACCGATAGTAGTGGTAAAAAAGAAGTCGGGGGAGATAAGACTGTGTTGTGATTACCGGAAATTGAACAATATCACAAGAAGGGATGCATTCCCCTTGCCTCGTATTGATGAATGTCTTGATGCGTTGGGGGGAGCAAGATTTTTTTCTACCTTGGATTTGGCTAGCGGCTACCACCAAGTGGCCATGCACCCCAACGATCAACATAAGACTGCATTTATTTCTCCACTGGGACTGTACGAGTGGACCCGTATGCCGTTTGGTCTAACTAATGCGCCTGCTACATTCCAGCGAGTAATGCAGAGTGCTATGAGTGACTTTCTATTTCAAATAATGTTGGTGTACTTGGATGATATACTGGTTTACTCAAAAACTTGGGAGGACCATCTAAAAAGATTAGAACAAGTGTTTCTCCGTCTTAGGGAGATAGGAGTAAAGCTGAACCCAGACAAATGCGGCTTCGGTCTGAAATCGGTACATTTTTTGGGTTATGTGATTTCGTCGGATGGCATCGCCACTGACCCAGATAAAATTGCAGCTGTTAAAGAATGGAAACAGCCAACAACTACAGTAGAGGTCAGATCATTCTTGGGCTTTGCTTCCTATTATAGAAAATTTGTACCTGGTTTTGCAAAAATTGCCGCACCGTTGCATGACTTGGTAAACAAAATGACAAAGAAACACAGTAAGGAGAAAAAGAAAGGTAAAACACAACTGATAGGTGAATTATGGACTGATGAATGCCTGAACTCGTTTAAGCTCTTGAAAAAGGCTTTGACAGAGACGCCGATATTAGGATACGCGGACTTTGACAAACCATTTCGGCTAGAAATTGACGCCAGCTCTAAAGGTCTGGGAGCTGTGCTATCACAACAACAAAAGCAAGGTTTCAGGGTTATTGCGTATGCCAGTCGAGCTCTGAAGGAATCAGAGAAGAACATGACAAATTACAGCGCCATGAAACTAGAACTTTTGACATTAAAATGGGCTGTGACTGAAAAATTCAGGGACTATCTATTAGGTGCTAAATGTGTGGTATACACTGACAATAACCCCTTGAGTCACCTAAAGACAGCAAAGTTGGGATCCATCGAACAGCGATGGGCAGCAGAATTGGCACTCTTTGACCTGGAGATAAAATATCGCCCGGGGCGGTCCAATGGCAATGCGGACGCTTTATCAAGGAATCCGTACGAGAGACCGGGCGATGAGGAAGAAACGCTGACAGGAATATGTGAGGTCAGAGCGTCAACAGATATCCCTCACGGGGTGCAAGTGATGCAAAACGGGCAGACCGGGGTGGAGCACATATCCACGGAGCCCGGACATATGGACATTAGTGATTTTAATTGCCTTAATCACAAAGAGATAAGAGATGCCCAGAGAACGGATAGTGGCTTACAGCCGCTGTTGAAACACGTCCAGGAACAAAAATTCCCAGGAAGAAGGGAAAGAGAACAATTTGGTCGAGAAACAAAGAAAATACTGAGTCAGTGGGACCGTCTCAGTATAAAGGATGGTGTTCTCATGCGGAGAATTCATGACCAAATAGATGGGACAATACACCAGGTGGTGGTGCCTGGACAGTTACGAGAAGAAGTGCTAAGGTTGGCACATGACAGGGCAGGACACCAGGGTCAGGACAGGACGCACAAAATATTACGACGGAGGTGTTACTGGCCCAATATGGAGATGGAGGTCAAACGCCATTGTGAGGCTTGTGTGAGGTGTCAGCATGCGAAAATGCCAGTTGTCAAAATGAGACAGCCATCAGGACACCTACTAGCGACAAAACCACTAGAGATTGTGGCTATGGACTTTACGTCGTTGGAGCAATCATCGGATGGGACGGAACATGTGTTGGTAATGACTGATGTATTCACCAAATGGACTGTGGCGGTGCCCACACGAGATCAGACTGCCAAAACAGTGGCAAAGGTCCTAATAGAACATTGGTTCATCAAATATGGCATACCAAGACAATTACACTCTGACCAAGGAAGGGCCTTTGAGTCAGAAGTAATTAACCAACTGTGCAGCCACTACGGGATCAACAAATCTAGAACAACCACATTTAATCCGAAAGGAAACGGACAGTGCGAGCGGTTCAACCGCAGCATGCATGATTTGCTGCGTACTCTAGAACCTGAACAGAAAAAACGTTGGCCTGATTTTCTCCCAGAGTTGGTATATCTATACAACTGCACCCCCCATGCCACAACCGGCTTTTCGCCACACATGTTGCTGTTCGGACGGGAGGCTCGACTCCCTCTTGACTTGTTCCTAGGAAAAAAGGAGAGTATGACTGGCTCATACACTGCACTGGAATATGTGAATGAACATATGAGACGAATTAGAGAAATGTACAGGGTAGTACAGGAAAGACTAGAACATGAAGCACGGCGAAGGGAACCGCCGGTACAGACAAAGGACCCGCCACTCAAACTGAACGACAGGGTATTACTGCGTAGCCACCCGTTAGGCAGAAACAAAATCCACGACCTCTGGGGACAGGAGATATGGCAAGTCGTGGAGATGCCTAAAGTAGCAGGTGGCCCCTTTAAGATAAGACCCATCGATCACGCCAAACCGGATCGGTGGGCGAATATTGCTCAATTAAAGAAATATTGTCATAGTCAAGAAGAGCAGTTACACACAAGGAAACCTAAGACAATTAGGGAACCGGAAACTATAACGGAAATTCACATACCCATCCCGGAACCATGTCACCATCAACAGCGCAACAGCGATACACAAGGGGAGGATACCGGCAACAAGGAGGATCCCGGTCCTCCCAGAAGCAGAGACACAGTAGAACAGCAGATAAGTGGTCCGCGGAGAAGTTTGAGAAACAGAAAGAATACGAAATTTTTTGTCAGCAACCATCAATTCTTTCATGGTCGCGCTGGTATGAGAACAGACTGTTCAAAAAAGTCATAAAAGTGAACTGGTGAAGGCACCAAACGAAAAAGGGTGGATGTGAATTCTAGAACTGTTTTGTGTCTGAGGAAGATGATGTAGACACATTTGATATGTGAAATAGGGATAACTGTCAATCTTATACGAATGTGACGACATTGACAGTGAGTGGAACAATACATTTTTTTTTACGGTGGTGCGATTGACTTTGAAGGACTGCACCTGCCAAGCGTTGTTTGTGGTTGATAACACACAAAAAAAGGCAGGGGTGGATGTAACTAGGGGAAGTTACCAGAGAATAAGAACGCAGTACAGCGCTGTCAACTTTGACACGACTGATGTAATAACGCAGGTGTTGGCTGATAACGATCAGAAAGCCAAGGCGTAGTATCTTGGGAAGCGATACGATAAGAACGCAATACGGTCTGTCAACTTTGATGTGACAGGATGCAGATGGCTTATTAAATCGGACTGTACGACAGAAGCGGCGTAATTAACATTCTGATGCAACGATTAGAATCGATTACGATTACGATTATGATAGAACCGAATACGATTACGAATACGAAGGGGATATATAGGAAGGCGACGGCTGAGCTCGCTCTCTCTCTCTCTCGATCAGTCAGTCAGTGAGGCAGTATCAAGTTGGTTATTGAACGGGTTAGCCGTATTGTGTTAAGAAGGACGATAGACATGTGCATTCAGTTATGTGAAGACTAGTGAGGACTGTTGGGGGTCAGTTGATTCAGACTATTATTGTGAAGCATTCCTTTTGATTCATTATATTATTGTGAAGCATTTCTTTGATTCATGTAATAAAAGGATCAATAGCGAACCTGCATCTTCGAGTATCTATACTGTGGTCGATGTTGTGTAGAATGAGTGGTTAGACTCGGTAACATTTGGCGTTGTCGAGCAGAACTCGTTAACATTTGGCACTACAGGCAAATAGTCTCGTTACATATATATATATATATATATATATATATATATATATATATATATATATATATATATATATATATATATATATATATATATATAGCTAACACCACGGTCAGCAAAGCATCTCATCCCATACCACTCCACCTCTACACCATACCACTCCACCTCTACACCATACCACTCCCGTCCATCCGTTCGTCAATTTAAAAAATAAGTTAAAAAGAATTTGTCTATTTAAAAGAACGATTTAAATCAGTTATAAAGTTAATAAAATGTGAAAACATAATGAATTAATTCAGGCTATAATGACTATCTATTTCGTTACATTTTAGGGAATGAATAAATTGTATAATTATAGTAAATGTCGCACACAAAAATATGTCGAAATTCCAAAGATAAATAACTTCCACAGAGCTAGTCAAAAGAGGGGTCAAAGTTCACATCCACGGGCGCAACTTTGTGGCGGGAAACTTTATCGCCTCCAACATCGTGAGCGCCGTCAGCATGTGCCGTAGGACCTTGGTCATCCTGACCGGGAACTTCTGCAAGGGTCACTGGTGTAAATACGAGGTCCAGGTAGGTGGAATTATTATTGTGCTTGCAAGTGCTTTTAAAAATATCTAAACAGTAATTAAAGTTCTAATAGAGAACTAAACGATTAAAACCTTTTCTTTAGAAGCAAATAATAACGTTTAGTTTTTGTTTGCCAGTAAAAAACAATCTATTCTTTACAAAATGCGTTATTTTTAAAAATAAAATGAACTGTTGGATTTAATTTAGGCGTTTAAAAAAAAACAACTGAAATCCGTATCAGATTCAAGACAAGCCTGGCACATTGTTCAGCTCTAAGGGGTGACACCACATGAAAAATGTTTTTCTTTATTATGCGAGTTAATGATAATGTAACAGATTTAATTGTTCACAGTATTTGTACTCTAAACCAAAAAATGTATAAAATCACATTTTGTAGCTCTAGCTGCCCCGAAAGCCATGAAATGTTTAAATTGAACACATTTTCAAAACTCTCTATCTTTGCTCGCTCAATATTCAAAACAAAATCTCAGTTAAGATATTCACTTAGCCATTTATTTTCTAGCTTTTAAAAGGAAATTTTAAATAAGAAAATATACAACAACAAAAAATAAGTAGACGGTTTTACATAAACTTTAATATTTTCTAAGTATTGCAGTAAAATGAAAACACAAAACTTGAAAAGTAGTGTAATGCTTAAAACTTATGCCAAGTTTCACTTTTGTGTGACACTAGGTTAATGGGACCAGTGGCGTATTATACCCCCCCCCATAGACCCCTCGGTATATATATATATATATATATATATATATATATATATATATATATATATATATATATATATATATATATATATATATATATATGAAGGGGGGTTGCAAATCGAAAGGTCGTCCCCGGGTAAAAATTTGAAACCCCCCCCCCCCCCCCATGAGACGATCCTGGCTACGCTACTGAATGGGACGACGTGGTCACATAGTAAAAAGATAGAAGTGCAAATTGGTTTATTCTTTTATCTTAGTTTAAGGCGTACTAACCCAGTTTTTTATTAGTATTGCAATCCTAATAAACAGTGTATTTCTCAATAAAAAATTTGTAGGCCGATAATTTTAAAATTATACATGAAAGCGAAATAAAAGTTTAACAAAAAAGTTTAACCGCGTGTTTTGTTTTATCTTGTAACAATTTAACCACCTAGCCCACATCATTAGTTGATAACAGATCGCGAAAAGGTTAGTTATCTGTACCTTAGTACGATTGGTCAGTAGAATTAATGAATCATTTTCCTTTAGTAATCATTTAAACATTTAAGTAAGCCTATATATAGCGGCATTGCCTTGACCGTGGTGGTTGCCTTGACCGTAGTATGACCTTGACCTTTCTGTTTCAGATGGCTAACATGGAGTCGGTCCACGACGGACGTCCGGTGCTGATTTTCCTGGTCAAAGAGAACATGGCGGCCAAGAACCTGGGTGAGCTCATGTCCTTCCTCCGCTGCAACACTTACGTCCCCTACCCGCAGGGGGAGCAACTCTCGGAGCGGGAGATGAAGGCCATGTGGGACAAACTGGCACAGGACCTACGCTAGCTGTCGGACCTCAGCGAGGACATTTATATCTATATTGTCTCATGGAACTGATACGCTGGCTGATAGTTTGGAGCATTCAGGTCTAGATCGTCTCATGGAGGACATTCAGGTCTAGATCGTCTCATGGAGGACATTCAGGTCTAGATCGTCTCATGGAGCTAATACGCTGGCTCATAGTTTGGAGGACATTCATGATGTCCTATTGCTGGCCTTCCAGGATCCGTTACACCACCGTACTTGAATGGCAAATACCTTTGACCTCTAGCTGTAATTTTTTCGTGTGCCGACAGCCATTCTTGCAAGGTTCACACAACAATGTAACTGGATATCATTTATAGCCTCGGGCATATTGCTTCATCAACAGTATAAACGGGTCCTTCAGAGAAAAAATATCGGATTACTAATCAGGTGTATCGTTTTACCACATGCGATACCCATTAAACCAGTGATAACAAAAACAATTAAACTGTTTGGAGTTAAAATCAAAATTGATGTTGTCAAGGAAAATAAAGTTTTTTTCTAAGCTTTGACAACCTTTTGACAGCCGCTTGACCGTTGTGTGATTTCTTATTACGGCATGGTGTCTTGTATTAATCAGGAAAAGGAATTTTTCAATATAGAAAATTCTTTTTCCCCTTAAGAAAACATATTGTAATAAATGCTGTAACTGTATATGTATTTTTTTCTTACTTATTGGTTGCAAATTATTATTTTTATTATTGTTGGTTATAAATCATTTTATTTTTTAATTTAAAAAAGAACGAGAGCCCATTAGTTTTATTGCTTCTTAAAAACATTTCTATATATCTTCCATCAATGAGAGATATGATTTTTTTAAATATATATTTAGAATCAGTCGGTACACATCTTCCTAAGATCCACTCTTTGATGCTTTTCTCTAAACGTGCAGTTTTTCCGTGAGAGTCAAACGGTATGCTTTCTACAAATCTTTTTCATAAACAAAAACAAAAGAACGATTTATCGGAAAAAAAGGTAATCGTAACTTGTCCCTGGAGCTATCACTACCTCATTTGTTTGCAACATCTTTTTTCGTTATATCAATGGATACATGTTTTATTTTTGTATTGTGGGAGGAGATTGATTCACAAAATGGCTTTCTGTGTTATTTAACCCATGCTACTTAGATCGGCCACATGAGGTAGACATATTAGAATTGTAAGCTATAACATTAAAAATAATTTCCCCGCATCATCACTATTATAGTTTAACTTATCAACCTTAATGGTTTTTAAACTACTTAATAACTAGTTGTTTGCACCCGTTGAGGAAAAGTTGCAACGGGGCCTATTCTGCTAATTTTCTTTTATAACATTTTGACCCTTCTATTTTGAAATATGGCCTGCAGATATGTAAACCATAGCTCTATTCGGGTCTTTATCTGAATCTTAAATTCCAAACTAACTCAGTATTTGAAGAAATGACAAATTTTGACAAAGCTGAAGGTCAAGAACTTGTACACTAACTTCGGTGAGTATGTAAATCTGAAGACAAAATCGTAAGAATATGAGAATTTGTTAAACTGGACACACTATCCTCCAAAATATGAGAGTTAGGAGACACCATCTGCCAGAGCAAAAGAATCACACCATTATTCGGGTAAGTTAAAAAAAAAACCACACCTTTATAATGCGGGAGGATGTTTTTTGTTACACTGTGTAGTATATCACACTGGCATATTTATATCAAAGATTATTATAATAAAAGGAATATGTAGAAAATAATAAATATGTATTCAGTTAATAAGAAACAACGAAGCCTCGCTTCGATATTTTAAATAAAAAAGAGTACCCAAAATGCAACAGTTATAAAAATGTTTACTAATAATATAATCAAATTAAGTACCGGTAGACCAAGTTTATCGTAACTTCGCTTAGGACAAATAGTTACTCATTTGAACAAAAACTAACCAAATGTACGCTTTAAAAAATTACAATTTTACATAGCATATATTTGTCTTGAATTAACAATAGCGGAAGTAATCTTTTTTTGCCGTTCAATAAAAATATTCACATTTGGTTTGGAAAATACTAGCTGGCAAGTAAAAACACGAGAAGATGTTGACATACATACTAGCCCTATTGGAAACGTCATATCATTGTTTTATAATGGGCTTTATCTGTAGGTACTTGGCGTGACATTGCATCTGTGTGTGGTTGACGGTGTGAGGTGTGTAGGGGATCTGCTAGGTTAGTAACATATTTTATTGTTAAGGGCATGGAATTACACCCCTCCCTATGCACTAGTCTATAAGCTGACGCTGTTCTAGAAGGTTTAACTTTATTTTTATCAAGGCGGAAGTGTGTCGTTCTTGCGGATTAGCAACAAGCCAAATCCTAGATTTCAATGACGATACTTTAACCCCAGGAATTTCCTTATCTTCAACTTGGCTCTTAAACAAAAATACCCGAGGCTCTCATATAAGAAAATCCGTGTATGGCTAATAGACACGAGCGTACCATGTCAAAAGTTTTTAAAATTTTGTTTGTGTGGTCTGCGTGCGGGTTCCCTAGGCTTGTAAACTTATGCTGAACTGGATTAGGTAGCACGTACTTCAACGTAGTTTTACATCAACGTAAGATGGAGGTTATTTCATTACTTGAAAGCAAATGTAGTCAATGGAGCATCATTTTTTAAACCAACGGTTGAACAACAATAACAGCAACGGAATTGTGTTTCGTGAATGCCTAAAACGTGTGCTACTTTCTGACCTAAGTATAAAATGTCGCTTTGTCTGAGCTAGGTAAATAAAGACTGACTCTGTACAAGACCATATATGTCAGACGCTTATTTTAACATCAGCTAATAATTAAAGTGCTGTCTAAAATTTGTCTCACTCTCTCCATAACTTTACACATAATTTAAACAAAACCATACAATTGTTTTCACTAAAACTTCTAGCTCCCAGTTATTAGACCAATCGCAGTCATGATAACAAAATTCACTATCTCGTGTTTGCTCCTGGTTTTTTTGACCAATGAAGCGGGAGCATACACTTCACGTCCACCGGACATGACGTCTTCAGTTACTGTTAACGGAAAGTCTGATTCTAAAGATTCCTGGTTAAATGAGAAGTCAACCAAAACAAAAAAAAACAATGTACATCGTATGGCAATCCCATCTAATAACTATGTATCGGTTAACGATGTCATAAAACAAGACGCCGTCCTGACAAAAAAGAAAAGTAATTCCTCACCCAGTCACAAACTAACAATGGACTTAGGTGTCAATAACCAAGTGACCTCTGACCTCAATAACAGCAACAAAAGAGAATCTCTTCTCGAGTTGTCAAAAACACAATCATGCAATCCCAGAAGGAATTCTACCTACTGTATATATTCGGGATGTAGGTGCTACAACGAAACAAATTGCTGTGATTGCAGCGGCCTTCGACTAACATCCGTCCCTCAAAACCTACCGCCTAACATAACAAAACTTGACCTGTACAACAACGCTTTAACTGAAATACCTCCTCATTCGTTAAAAAATTACTCACGACTTAGAATATTGCATTTGAATTCAAACAACATTTCAAAGCTGAATGAAAGCTCGTTTTCGGGTCTGGAAAACTTGACGTTTCTCCGACTGGACGATAATTCCCTAGCGATGACCCCTGACACGTTTCCCGTGGGTGTCTTCAAGCCTTTGGTGTCCCTCACGGCCTTGAGGTTGAATAAAAACTTTAACTCGGCGGTAGGAGGGAACAATTTTAGTTACCCAGATTTAGCGCTATCTGACTTGAAAAACTTGAAAGCGCTTTATATAGATGGGCTGACGAATGCGTCGTTTGGAGTGGGATTCAGTAGGATGACGTCACTGGTCAACTTTACCGTAACTGGCTATCTGGATGGATACTGTAATATAATTTGTTTAAGCAACACGACATTTCAGTACCTGGGACACATCAAGGTCCTCAACCTCAGCAACTGCCACCTACGTGGGGGGCACATTGACAAGGATGCCTTTACGCCTTTGGTGAGCCTGGAGATGTTGGACATCCACTACAACGAGGACATTGGAATCAAACACCTGCAGCATATCATGCACGGGCTGAGGAACAACACGAACCTGTGGTGGCTGGACGTTAGCACCATCGAGTGGCGCTACTCCACCGGAACTCAAGTCAATGCCAGTCACGTGGTCAACCTCCCCAAGTCTTTGACCACTCTCAAGGTCGCGGGGAACAGCATTGAGAAGATAGACAACGATACGTTCGACCATCTCCCCCCAAACTTAACTCTTCTGGACATCGGAAAAAACCGAATCGTGTTCGGGGTTTTCCTTGAATTTCTCCCAAAACTGACCAATCTTCAGACTTTACTGATCAACGGCGAAGACTACCTCTACGATATTCCAACATCCTACAATAAAGAATCCATCAAACATTTTCATTCCCTCCTCAAGAGGAGAAGCGTTGGAGATGACAACGCTCTAGTATTCCACCTCCCACCACAACTGTCCCGGATAGAAATGGTTAACGCTGAGTTGCAGTACCGTCTGTCACGGCTGACGATAGTCAGCAACAACTCCCTGACAGACCTTGTGTTGGACAGAAACTTTTTGCCTGAGCTGCAAGGTCCGTTCATCGGCTTCAATCATTTGACCACCCTCAGTATCTATTCGAGCTATGTTAGTTCCCTGGAGTGGACGTTTTTCTCCAATTTCCCGCGTTTGGAGAATCTTAACCTCGGCACAAACCTACTTGGGGATTTTTTAAACACTCTTGACGATCCTGTTTTCGCTAATTTGACAAATCTAAAAAAGTTAGATCTTTCTATTAACAACATTCAAAATTTAAGTTATGGTTTATTTATCGGTCTCAACAATCTTACTATTCTAGATCTGTCAAACAATCGTCTTTCGGAATTTAATGTAAATATCAGTGGGATGAAAAACTTGAGACTGTTAAATCTGAGTCACAATTCGATCTCGTCACTTCCTGATGACGTGATGGAAAGCATTGATTGGCTGATTGACCACCAGATACCGGTTGAGGTGGAGCTTAACAACTGCCCTATTCTTTGCACGTGTCAAAACTTGAAATTCCTAACCTGGATGGTCAAGTCTCCAGCAT